AATCACCATCAATCATCACATCAGCAACAACAACCCAAGTGTGGGAATTCCAAGAGCCCACAATCACATTTTTACACCATAATCAAGTAACTAAGTGCATGCATGAGCTTAATCTTGTCATATAATCTCCAAAAGATAAGAATCCAAGGGTTGATCATTACCTACTCCTTTGGTTTGCAAGGTCAGAATTTTCGGCCCTCTTGAAGCTCCAAGAAACCGTGAAAGCTCCCTCCTCCTTAGCTAGATATAGTCTCCAAGTGGTTTGCTAAGTGGTCTCCAAGTTTGGTGTGATTTGGAGGTGATTTGGTGGTTTGGTGAGATTAGTGTGCAGAAATTTTGAACAATGAGTTAGAGAGAGGGAGTGTTTTGGCCGGCCATGAGGAGAGAGAGAGAGAGTGTGTTGATCAATTAGCTTCCAAGAAGATGCAATGTGTGGTGCAAAATCACCCAAAGTCAACTCTCATTAGGGGCCGTTTGGTGCGATTACGGCTCGATTTTTCGCGCGTTTGGTTCACTAGTGCACTAAACCTCCAATGCATATATATATTCATGTAAATATTATTCACTCTTAATTGTCCCGAAATAAGGGTCTAAAGTCCCTCAAATGAAGTCGCGCGTGTGAAAACGCGTACCGTCAATTTTACCGCTATAACGCGAAACTTTCGAAAAATTCTTATAACGATTGCACTACTAACTATCACTTGAATATTTATTCATAAAATTACCTATTTTAGGACCATAGTACAAGTCTCCAATATTCCAAGCTTATTGTGCTACTACGCGGATAAAATCTCCAAGCACTATTCACTATTTTTACGAAACGCGCTCTAGGAAATTAATTTTTGAAACGAATCATTTTAAAAATATAACGAAGATATTTTACCACTTATTTAGGTCTAATAAGACTAGAAAATATTTCTTGGAAATAAATCCAATTAAATAATTCATTAAGCCATAAATTAGGCATAAAATAATAGTGTTTTTTTTTTTGCGAGTCCTCACAGAGTAGACATGCGAATCACTTATAAACACGTAGCACATAACACTTAGCATGCTCGACTAGATGCAAGAGCCTAATAAAACACTTAACACATAACACATAGGCATGCAATCAAGCCAATGAATCTAATACATTTGCTAACTAAAACAAAAGGGGAAGGGGAAAATGGACCAAATTGCTCGCCAAGCCCTATCTATTACAAGCCAAGAGGTGTACACATACCCCATAAAAAGAATAACTTAATGAAAAGCAATAGCAAATGAAATAAAGGAATTAAAGAAAGGTAAGGAAAGCAAATTAGACATGCAATTCTCACTTAGCACGTTGGATCACGTAGGAGAGACAAAAAAAGGATAAAAGAAGTATACCTCCCTTGAGTTGATGCCTTAAATGGAGTGAAATCGCTTATTTATCCTCCAAAATAAAAGAAATGGTCAAGGTACCAATTTATTTGGAAAAAAATAAAGAAAATAGGCAATCACAAGCTCACTTGGTCATAAAGCCCCAAAGTCATGACTTAAGTGCAATTGAAACAAAGCATAGTAATTAATTGAAACAAACAAGCAATGAAGTTGTAGAATTAAAACTACCAAGGACCAAATTGAGGAGATTATTCAATTGGTTGGGTCATAGTGGCATAAGGGGAAACTTGAGGGGTCAAAATGAAATTTGAGAAAATTATTTCATGCAATCTTCATGCAAAGAACGTAGCTTATATTCTGCAACAAAGTTTCAGCCATTTCTAAAGCCTTTTGCACTATTCCAGCCGTAGCTTGCTTTTCAATTCATTGTCTTAAATGAAACAAAAAATGTAATCTTCATCCGAACACAGCCCAACATCCCAATCCAACATCAAACCGCAATCTCTAGTAAGAAAAACAAAGCTAAACATTCGAATATACAAACAGCAAGAGAAATTCTGCATTTTCGGCATATGATTTCAGCAATGAGACTTGCTGCATTTTCTTTCAACCTCTGATTTCTAATCCCAGCTTTGATTAGATATTTTCAACCCCAACATCACAACTTTAGACTAAGCAACTAACTACATAATCACCTCAATCCAAACAAACAAAACTCAGCAAGATATCCTGCAAAAATTCTGGAAAACATGCGTGCAACACTTAAAGAACAAAAGCTGCCGCAACTCCAAGCAACTTTCGGCAAACAAGATTCATGCAGCCCTTTGATCCATTTCCAATCAAACATGGCTACAACTTAATAACAATGGGATTCTTGGAATACTTTTATGCAAGTTTCATGCAACAAAAGAAATACAAGAAGCTTCTGCAGCTAAAAAATGAAGGCTGCTGCCTTTGGTTTCCAAACTTGTTGTTTCATCATGCCAACAGATTTATCAAACCAGAAATTACTGATGACCTTTGACACCAAGTTCCCAATCATGCACAGGACATTTCAGTCAAGCTACAAACCAAATCAAGCGTTTGAAACAAAACCAAAGCTTCGGCCATCTAAGGAAAAGAAAAGGTATTCGCTCATGCTGCTGCAACAGGACCAAGAGCTTTAAGCTCATTGCAGCAGAATTCATGCGCAGGTTTCTGGAACTTGTGTCAAACAGAACCATAACTTGCGATTCTAACAAGTGAAACCATCCTAATCTTCTAACATGATTTGCCAACATCAACTCAGTCAACTAGTGTTTGTCAAACAGAAATTCTGGAGCAAAATGTGCAAAGAAAGAAAAGAAAACAACGAGAGGATGGGAGGAACATTTCTGCAATGGTGGACCGGCTTGCTGCAGTTTTGCATTCCAATCAAAACTCATTGACATGGAACAACTCAAACCAAGACCAACACCCATGTAATGGCCTTAAAACCATGTTGTTAACATCATCCAAATATCATGATTTACCCCAAACATCAAGCAGGGAAATGGGTATGAAATCAGCAATAAGAGATGAACTTGGAACATTGAAGGTTTCAGTCATTGTCATCAACATCTCCTAAAATGCAATTGCCTATCCCCAGCAAACCCATGAAGCAAATGAATATGAATAATGCAGCAATGATATAAAGAAAGCAACTCCAACATTCTAAACCAAAAACCTAACTCCATATCTGTTTCATGCCGAAAGATAAAAAACAATCAAAGTTGGAAACTTTTCATTGATCTACTTTCGGCTAAGACCCAACCACACAAGAGCTGACTTCTTACTCCAAACAAATGCCATCAAAACCCAAGCAAAAGCCATCAATCAACGTTGAAGCAAAACAGAACCAGAAGACAGCAACGGAAAACAAGTAATAACTAAAGGAGACAGCTTTTAGCTATAAAAGATGAAAACAATACCTGGAGTGACGGTAACTCAGATGATCTTCCCGAGTATTGAACGCTGAAGATGGCTTCGTCACCTTCCTTTTCTGCAATCCCCTAGCCGAGAATCCTTCTTGCTTCGCTCTTTCGTTACCTCTTTTGCCAACTGCCGCCAGATTTTTCAGTCTATCTCGCTCTCTCTCAAAACTGCGTTTTTTATGCTCAAAGCCTAGCCGCCACCTCTAGTTTTCTTTTCTGGTTTCTCTCTGTCTGGCTTTCCTTCACTCAGCCCCTCTCGTTTGCTCTCTCCTTAATCCACAGCCACCCATGTTTCCTCTCCCTCAGGTTTCTAGCTTTTTTCCACTACAGCCGTCAACTCAAAAACTCTCCGTTGCGGCTGCCCCTTCAATCTTCCCTCTTGCTCTGTTTTCCTTCTCAAGGCTGAAGCTCCCTGCTTGGCTCTCCAGATTTTCCATCGTCCCTGCTCCCTGTTTTTCTTAGCTTTTCGTCGCCTCCCTCCTATCAGACTCCAACCACTGTTTTCTCTCCCCCCTAGCTTCCTCTTTTTTCGGTTCCCCCCTTGCCGTTTTGTTTTTGTTTTTTCCTTTTGCAGCCGCCACTTCCATCTCTCTCAGACTCTCTTGATTTTTCCTTATCCCCCGATCCGCTTCCTCCTTGCGGCTGCCGTTTCCTTTTTCATTTATATGGGGCACTCAACCCTAAACTCTCAACAATCTCTTCTAAATTGCAGCCAAAGGGCTGCCGAGTCCTTCCTTGCAAGCTGCGAAAATACGCAGCTTGCATGGCACGAGTGATTTTTTTTTTTTTTTTGGCAAAAGTAATTTAACAAAATTGATAATAAAATTAAGTAATAATATAATAATAATAAACAACAAATTAAGTAACATCACATCAAAATAAACAAACAAAAACCACGTTACCATTTTTCAACCTTTTTCTTTCATTTTCATTTTTTTCTTTTTTTTTCTTCAAGAAAACATGGAATTTAAATCAAAACAACTAAAGCATATTTTTTGAATATTTTTTTTCTTTTTCCGAGAAATTCTATGCTAAAGCTTAAAAATAAAATAAAAACTAAAATAAAAACTAAAAACACTGAAAACACTGAAAATTTGGTGTCTACACTGAGATTAAGGAGATACAAATCAGCATTCATTGAACAAAAAGCAGAAAGAGGAGATGATTGAATTTTTGTCTATGTTTCAAGATGTGTTCGCATGGTCTTATGATGATATGACTGGCATTTCGACGAATGTAGTGGTACACAGATTACCTACAAACCCAGCTTTTCCGCCAGTAAAACAAAGGCCCCGTAAATTCAAACCAGACATGAGCCTCAAAATAAAAGAACAAATTGAAAAGCAGCTTAAGACTAATATCATCCTTGTATCCCATTACCCTGTTTGGCTCTCAAATCCAGTCCCTGTTCCAAAGAAAAATGGAGAAGTGCGAGTCTGTGTTGATTATAGGGACCTCAATAAGGCTAGCCCTAAAGATGACTCTCCTTTGCCAAATATCCATATCATTCTAGACAACACTGCGACATGAAATTGAGTCTTTTTGTGATTGTTTCGCTGGATATCATCAAATCTTAATGGCCGAAGAAGATAAGGAAAAAACTGCTTTTATCACCCCTTGGGGAACTTTTTGCTATCGAGTCATGCCGTTTGGTTTGAAGAATGCGGAGCTACTTATCAAAGGACTATGACTACATTGTTTCATGATATGATCCACCAGGAGATGGAGGTTTACGTGGATGACATTATAATCAAAACCAAGAAAGCGAGGACCATTTAATTGATTTAAGAAAGTTGTTTGAAAGGTTGCGGAAGTAATAATTTGAAGCTAAATCCTGCGAAATGCGCCTTTGGAGCACCAGCTGGTAAACTGTTGGGATTCATTGTCAGCAAAAAGGGCATAGAGGTAGATCCGGCAAAGATCAAGGCAATTCGAGACATACCAGTGCCGAAAACGCAGAAAGATATGAAAAGTTTCTTAGGCAAGATTAATTTCATTGGAAGATTCATTGCCCAATTAACCGCTACGTTCGAGCCACTATTCAAGTTGTTAAAAAAGAATGTGCCATTGCATTGGAATGAGGAGTGCCAACAGGCTTTGACAAGATTAAAGATTATTTGCTGGCAGCCTCCGGTCCTAGTGCCACCCAAATCGGGCCGGCCTCTGATCATGTACTTATCTGTGCTCGACGGAGCAGTAGGTGTGTTCTGGACAACACGATGATTCCGGAAGGAAAGAGCAAGCCATCTAGTATCTTAGCAAGAAATTTACCCAGTATATAGGCTCATTATTCATTTATTGAGAAAAAGCTGCTGTGGCATTGGCCTGGGCGGCTCAAAAGTTGAGACACTACTTGCTAAGTCATACCACTTATCTCAAATCCGCTCCGATCCTTTGAAATACCTCTTGGAAAAGCCGATGCCAACTGGGCGCCTGGCCAAATGGCAAATGATTCTTTCAGAGTTTGATATTGTTTTCACTTCGCAAAAGGCCGTCAAGGAGCAAGCTATAGCAGATCATTTGCGGAAAATTCAAAGGACGATGAGTATCAACCGCTCCATACCTATTTCCCTGATGAAAAGGTTTTGTTTATCGGTGCCGTAGAAGATATGAACGAGTGGTGCCTGAATGGAGATTGTTTTTTGATGGTGCCGCTAATTCTGTCCAAGCTGGAATCGGAGCAGTTCTTGTATCTCCAGAAGGGAAGCATTACCCCGGAGCTGCTAAGTTGGCAATTCGCCTGTACAAACAATATGGCCGAGTATGAAGCCTGTATTTTTGGTCTTAAAATGGCTTTGGAAATGGAAGTTAAAGAGTTGATCGCCTTCAGTGATTCAGATTTACTTGTGCACCAAACGTTGAAACAATGGATAACCAAAGATTCCAAGATCTTGCCATACCATTGTAATTTGCTCAATCTGGCTAGACAATTTCAAAGTTTGGAGTTCAGACATCTCCCACGAGCCCGAAATGCATTTGCAGATGCCTTGGCCACCTTATCTTCTATGATACAATATCCAGATGAATTAGGAATCGAGCCTATCCGGATCCAATTCCAGGACAAGCCTGCTCATTGTTGGGTCGTGGACAAAACATCTGGCAAAAGCCCTTGGTACAATGATATTAAGGAGTTCATCAAAATCGGGTCTTACCCTCCAGAAGCTACTGCAAATGACAAGGGTTTCCTGCGCAAAATGGCCTCGAAATGTTTCTTAAATGGAGAGGTATTATACAAAAGGACATCAGATTTGAACCTCTTAAGGTGCATCGATGAAGATGAAGCTCAATACATGATGAAAGAGATGCATAGCGGCGTCTGCGGACCTCACATGAATGGACATTTGTTAGCAAAGAAAATTATGAGAACCGGGTATTTTTGGCTTACAATGGAACGCGACTGCATAGATTTTGTCCAGACATGTATTAAATGTCAAGTGCATGGCGACGTTATACGTGCTCCTCCCACCGAATTGCATAGCATGATTGCTCCGTGGCCCTGCTCAATGTGGGGTATGCATGTGATTGGCACAATTGACCCTTCTGCTTCAAATGGCATCGGTTTATATTGGTGGCAATTGAGTATTTCACCAAATGGGTCGAAGCTGAATCATTCAAGCACGTGACTAAGAAGGTGGTGGTGAATTTTTTAAGGGATCACATCATATGCCGATTTGGGGTACTAGAAACATTGATTACAGACAATTCCAAGAATCTCAACAATGATATGGTGGATGGGCTATGCGAACAGTTTAAAATCAGACATCGCAACTTTGCCATCTATAGACCACAGATGAATGGAGCCGTAGAAGCTGCAAACAAGAATTTGAAGAAGATTATTCGCAAGATGACTGAAAAGCATCGTGACTGGCATGAAAAGCTCCCTTATGCACTAATGGCATATCGGACTTCTATCCGAACATCAACTGGGGCAACACCCTACTCGCTCATGTATGGAATGGAAGCTGTGCTACCTGCCGAGGTCGAAATCCCTTCATTGCGGGTTCTAATGGAGACCAAGTTGGAAGAAGCTGATTGGATAAAGCAGCGTCATGAACAACTATCTTTGATTAATGAAAAACGGCTTAATGCCATTTGTCATGGCCAATGTTACCAAAAGCGCATGGCCCGGGCCTACAACAAGAAAGTCCATTTGCGAACATTTGAGGAAGGCGACAAAGTACTTAAACGAATTTTTCCCGTGCAGGATGAGGCCAAAGGCAAATTTGCTCCAAATTAAAAAGGGCCATTCATTGTTCAAAAGGTATTACCTGGCGGAGCACTCATTTTGACCGAAATGGATGGACAAACATTCCTCAACCTATCAACTCAGACATGTGCAAGAAGTTCTTTATTTGATTATGCAGATTTCTTTTAGAAATCACACAAGAGACGAGGCAAAAGTCAGGTCATCTTCCTTTCCAATCAAAACATTTCATCCCTAATCCTCCCCTTTGAGCTATCAGAATCATAATTTTCGTTTGGCAACCCCTGAGAACTGCAAACCCCACACTAGGGCAAATTCATTTTGAAAAAAGATCATCAGAAAAAGAAAGAACCCACACTGGGGCAAATTTAGTTTTTTTTTGAAAAAAAAATGCAAAAGTGAGGAAAATGCAATGAAAAATGCAAAGAGAGAATTCAATCAAACTAGGGCAAATTTTCCTCAATTTCGTTCGAAATTGGAGATGATTTCAAATGATACAATCTCAGGTTATTTCACCTTTCATAAGAACAAATTGCTTTCAAGCCTTAACTTTTCTTGAAACACCCCACCTGACCTCATTACAAAAGCCCAAAAGTCCTGGCTTTCGTCACTTGCTGTATTTCTATTAGGAAATTCGCTAATCAACTGGCAAGTGATGTCCATAATGCCTTCACCTAAACTTATAAGGGAAGCGCATTTTACTGATGCCAGCAATTTTCAACTCATATTGCTGAGTCGATCATGGTCGAGCTTTTCCATTGTTCCTTAGGTGAAAACCCGAAAGGGCGCCTCAAAAAAAGAAAAAAAAAAGAAAAGAAGAAAAAATAGAAAAAAGAAAACAAGAAGGGAAAAGAAAAAAAAGAAAAAAAACAAGAACAAAAACAAAATAAAATAGAAAAAGGGTGGGGGCAACCTTGGTGAAAACCTGAAAGGGCATCAAGGTAGGGTTCTGCAATGAATGAGCACGAGGAGGAACAGCTAGTGACTTGGTTCATTTGGATTTCTTTTCGTTTTGTACCATTCTGTCAATATTGAATTCCGGAACAAAGATATCCCGAGATTCGAATATGGTGTCTGTTGGACACAACTGTTTCATTTTAGAAACTCTTTTGCAAATACATTCCTATGGAATTCATTTTTCCTCAAATATTTGTATTCATGACATTTTCATGGGATTAGGCATGATTGTTTACATCCTTTTTGCATATTCATCCTTGCATGACATGTGAATTTATCATACATCATTTTTTCTAATCATTGAGTTTTAATAAATGACAATCCCCCATGGTTTGTGCAAAGCAAACGTTCGGATTCAGTCCTCTTTGGAAATGGTCGTGATTCAACGGAGCCCGTTACACAGATCTCATAATATGGCTGAAGGCATTCCCGGTCGGTCTGAGAAGAATCAGAGAGCCTTTGAAGTAATAAATCCAACTAAATCAGATCCTACAGCCGAATTGGACAAAGGCATCAAAGGACTCATGTTTACACTGTGAGAACCCGTTTTGCCCTAATATTTTTCCTAGGGTTTATTTCACCTTAATTGCATGTTTCTGCATTTTCTGGCTTAGAAATATTTTCTTAGTGGATTTTATGAGCAATTATAGTTTTAAGATGATTTTCTAGCATTGGAGAAATTTTAGAAAATTAAGAATATATTTTGGACGTGGGACCCACTAGTGCGAAAAGTACGGAAAAATTCGGCCAATAAGGTTAAGTTTCGGATACTGGTGGAAATTTATCGGGTGTTAAGAGATAAGTAGAGGGTGACATGGCATTGATGTGAGAGGAACCAAGTGATAGGAAGGCATTAAATGAAGTGCCAAGTGGCACTATGTGATTGGTCCACTTGTTGGACATTTTTGACTTTTCTTATCATGGATTAAATATCTCAAAAATTGACTAAAAATTCATTCTTTCTTACCTCTTGTTGGCCGATTCTCTCTCTTGGGTAAGGAAGAAAAACTTCTTCAATTTACAAGCTTCAAACTATCTCAATCTTCCATTCCAACCAATTAAACTTAGATTTGCTCCATAAAATCACTCCATTAGGTGCTAGTAAGTGACTTGGTGAAGTTTTTGGAGAAGCTAAGGTGTTCCACCACTATCTCTCTCTTGTTTACTAGGTAAGTGGTACTTGAACTTTCTCCTACACTTAATGATGTTTAATTTGTGCCTAATGGGAGCTAAAGTGATGGATTATGTGATTTATTTCTTGGTTTGTGATGAATTGGTGAAGTTTTTATTTTTTTGAGGAATTTTCTGGTTTAATATGATCATGGTGTTGTGGTTGTTTATGATGGTTGATAAGGAGGGGTAATGACTATGGTAGGTGTGAATGATAGATAATTGCAACCAATTTTGGATTTGGAAGGAAAAGTGAAAGTTAGGGTTCTATCATCCCCAATTTCTGTCCGGTTTTATATCATGTGGTTAGAGGCCGAATTAGACTTTACTCAAAACATGAAAGTTGTAGGTATTGATGTGTTTGAGGTGCCTGTAAAATTTCAGGTCATTTGGATGAGTGTGATTTGGATGAGTGTAGAGTGAGTTATGCCGTTTTTACTGTAGCTGTTCTGCTTTGATCAGAATGCGAAAACTGCGATAGTAATTGGCCCTTTTGACTGGAATTGGTTTGGATTTTGAAGTTGGTGTCTTCTGATGAAATGTAGCTGAATGTCTTAGCTAACATATGCCTTTGGAATTTCGGCATTTGGACTTGTATGGACTGAGATATACCGATTACAGTTTTCTGTGTTTTGCAAACCTGTTTTGGGAATTCTGGGTTAGTATTTGGCATATTTGACCTAGTTGTGTTAGGAACTGGATTGAGTGGCCTTCTACATTGTTGTAGCTCTGTTTCATAGCTTCGAAACGGTGCATCTTGCACCCCCATCCATAACCGTAGTGAAAGTGGTGTCATTACCGCATTATGAGGTCAAATACATTTTTTTTGTTAAGGCCTAAGTTAAAGCCATTTCTTAATTTCTGGTTACCTATGATACTTATTTATGCATATGAAACCCTAGTAGGGTTATAATTGGTATGGCTATATGACTCGTTATCGAGTCTCTTTTAGGGCTTGCTTTCATTTCGGTTGTTTCCTAGTTAACTTTTGTACTTGTACCACTTTGAGCCTAGTGAACGGCTTTTGGGAAATGAGATGAATTTTGTGTGAGATGTTGGGACTGATTTGAGGATAGAATGAAGCCTTAATGGCTAGAAAAGTAAGAGATTTAGGGGAAGTGCTGCCCGATTTTCTAGGCCGTTTGGTTCCTTTAAGTTGGGTTTGCCTTTTGGTAGAATGAAAGGCTTTTGGGTTGTTTGCGCCTAGGTCTTCATGCTACCTTTTCGTTTCCAAGAAAATCATGTTTTGCACCCTTGCATTAGTAATTATTTGGCGAGTATACGACTAGTAGTCGAGCCTCACATGTGCATTCTGTTTACTCGATCTGGAAGTAAAACCTTCAATTGGTTTATTTTGATTATTTTAGGGTTTCTTGGCGATTAAGGCCAATCTGAAGTGAAAACTTTTGAAGTTGAGCCGGTGAGTGTACCACTCCCTTCATTGTTGTTTAACTTGATTTTGCTCTGCAATCTGTTTATTTGTTCGAGACGAGGGTGTACTTTATCACACTCGTTCTCTAGTCTGATCATATGCCAATTTACTATGCAAAATTTGAATCTGTTATCTATGTCTGCATCTGTTCGGATTTCTATGACCTATGAGCTCAATCCTGTGGCTAAGTTATTCGAGTCGGGCCGGCAAGGGCCTGGACGATTAGATAACGAACCACGGTAGTCTGTTCGGGGATTTTGGGTATTGAGACCCTTGATTCCGGGTATACTCGAGTATTACCATTTCTGTTCGGTTACGGTGAGCGGGCCCGGTAAAGGGGTGTTTGGTGGACGGAATTCGGTGTAAAGAGGGGTCTACGGACGTTTGGTTCTATATACGTTGACGGAGAGTCAACCGGTTTGGATCAAGTACTGCGCTGGAAATTTGGCTCCTGAGAGCCACCCGTATCCTTCTGATTTGAATCATTGGTTCCTTTGCTTTACATCTGGCATGTGTATCTGATTTGTTAAATGTGAAATGCCATGATTTTGCTGCTATCTGTTTGGTACCTCATTGAGCGCAAGCTCACCCCTTCCTGTTCCCTTTTGTTTTCCTTACAGGAAAATAAACACTTTTGGTCTGGACTTGACAAATGGCTGCCAAATTGAGCTAATTGAACATATCTTTTGTATAGCTCATGTATTAAAACCCAAGTGTATTTTTGGGGCGTTTTCTCTTCTGATTTGGCAAACCGTGTATATGTATTAACTTTTGAAAGCTTTTGTATGTCATTTTGATTTGTAAACGCTACAGTTCAGTTGTGTATGTTTGTTAGCTTTTCGGCTGGGTTCTGACGGGTCGGTTACTATTCATGGCCGACTCCGGATTTCATTTTTTTATTTTGGGTTATTTTACCATTTTGACTTGTTTACGCTCGTTTGTAAGTTCCGGATCGCTATAGATAGCTCTAATCTGATCCGTAGTCCTGGCAGAGCTGGGCAGGCAGTCCGCTAACCCTTTGGTTCGCCTTAGGGGAAGGTGGGGCTGTTACATACACGATTCTCAAGGGAACCGGGTCAAATGATGGAGGCAATTTCATTATTCTTTCTCTTCTGCAGGAAAATCTCATGCATGGAGGAAAACAATAACATCTCGCATTCAAGTCAGTATCGAAAGTTTCCAACAGACAAAGGCAGATCAGACAAGTTGCAAGCAGGTTTGATCAAAGGCACAATAAAACGATGATGTAGAATCAACTTTTAGCTCAGAAACAAAAACGTAACCTCGAAAATGAAATTTTGAATTGAGGCTGTTTTCAGGTAAGCATATCGGAATCCCGATTTTAAATTTCTGTTGGGGTCAGTCCCGAATTTAAATTTCATGTTGGGGTTAGTCCCCTCGGGTCAGTCCGCGATTTTAAATTTCTGTTGGCGTCAGTCCCCTCGGGTCAGTCTCAAATTTAAATTTCATGTTG